TTATGTGTGTGCAATATAAAATCATAGCCACAAGCACAGATGTCCATGAAAAAGATAAACTGTTGAATTAAGCATGATCAGTGGTGGAATTGCCTGTTTAATATTCATTTGCTACTCGTTCATTCATTTCATTGCTTGCTAGCTGATAACCAGGAACATCTGTCAAAGATTTAGGAAAGATTTACGGGGGGGGGGGACTTAAAAAAAAAAGAGAAAATTCAGCCCATTAACTTCTTTTTTCATTTGCTCTATGAGCATCCCATTTGTGCCAAGCACAATTCCAGACACTGAAAGGTCATTGTCCTTAGACAGCACAGCCTAAGCAGCCCTACGCTAGAGCAAAAAGCTCAAGCAATTTGCTGCCACTAACATGGCTCTTTGAGACCTGGTCCCATCTCATCTTGCAGTCTCTATAGCCAGTTTCTCAGTTTCTCCTTTTCCCACCCCTTCTGTCTGAGTTCTGGAGTTTCCTAAATGATCTCTTCCTCCTTTTTTATTTTTTTTTTAAAAAAAATTAATTTCTTTTCTTTTGCAGCACTGAGAATCAAACCCAGGGCCTCCTGCATGCTAACACTGAACTATACCTACAACTTGAACTCCTTCCTTCCTTCCTCCCTCCTCCCCTCCCTCCGTTTCTTCTTATATTAGTGCATGTATATGCACAGATGCACTTGTACCATGGCACACCTGTGGAGGTCAGAGGACAACTTTCAGGAGTCAGTTCTCTCTTATGAACTCATGGAATCCAGAAATCAAACTCAAGTCATCAGTGCCTCTACCTGCTAACCCATCTGCCTGGCTTCCTTAGTTATGATATTCTCCTTTAAAAGGTGTGTGTGTGTGTGTGTGTGTGTGTGTGTGTGTGTGTGTGTGTGTGTGTTTGTAGTATCTATATGCCATGGTGTGCATGTGGAGATCAGAGGAGAAAATGCATCACTTGGTTCTCTCCTTCTACTATGTGGATCCTAGGAGTGGACTTGGGATTCGAGGAGCCTTCCTTTAGCTGCTGAGCCATCTTTGTTTGCCCTCTTATTCTTATTCATATTCTTGTTATGATCTGAGATAAGGTGTCCAGTATCCCTGGCTGGCCGATCATGATCTTAAATTTCTGATCCTCCTGCCTCCACATTCCAAGTGTTGGGATTTATAGGTACAAGCCACCAAGCCTTTTTTATGTTTTTGTTTTTCCACAATGCTGGGGACTAGAACCCAGGGCTTTGTGCATGCTATGCAAAAACTCTACCAACTGAGCTACATTCCCAGTCCCAAACTGCATTCCTTATAATGTACCAGAAAACACAGGCTGTTAGACAAAGATCACATTTTGAGTGCCAGTGGTCTAAAGTAAAACCAGGAACAGCATGGGTTAACGCACAAAAGAATCTTTAGTTCAGCCTCTTAACTACTCTCTTTCTTCCAAAAGAGACAGGGCCTTTCTATGTGTATTCTTGACTGTCTTGGAACTCCCTAGTAGTCTAGGCTGGCCTCTAATGCATAGAGATCCACCCGTCTCTGCCTTCTGAGTGCTAGAATTAAAGTTGTGTGCCACCATGCTTAGCTTTGTTTGTTTGTTTGTTTTTGTTTTAAAGATAGGGTTTCTTTGTGTAACTGTCCTGAAATTGACTCTGTAGACCAGGCTGGACTCAAACTCACAGAGATCCGCCTGCCTCTGTCTTCTGAATGCTGGGATCAAAGGTGTGTGCCATCAATGCCCAGCTTCCAGCTTTTTAAAACTGACTTTTATGCAATTGATGCTGTCTTGATCATTTGCTTTTGCTTTCTCCTCCAACTTTCTGATCTTAGGTCATTCTACATGCTTTTCTACTTACCTGAGACCAGTTATGCTGGCCTTATTTTCTCCTTTCATATAGCCTCAGTTTCAGGATAATTTCAGGATGATGGCTTTTCCTGAGCCTTTGGCTGCATGTCACTATTATGTGCCCCCCTCCCCCGTTCCTATCCGGTATTAGCATCCTCCCTCATCAGTCACAGTCATCTCTGTAAAGCTTGTCTGTAAATGTTGGCTCCAAGTAGGACCTATTCCTATTAGCAGGGGAGCCATTTCCCTTCCTAGGCAGAAGACTGTGGCTTCACGGACATTTACAGTCACCTACTGACCTTAAGGAAGCTGTAACTTGCTCCAACTTCCTTAAGGAAAGTAGAAATACGAAAATAACTCATTTATATGCCTCTGTTAATATCTTCACTCAGCAACCATTGACTGTGTACCTGCCAGACACTGAACTGTGCTGGGCCTTGGTAGCCAGGATGCCACAAGGACACCACATCATATATGCACATATGTTCATGGTAGTGTTTATGAGTTAAATACAAATCCTCTCATCCTCCTCTTCCTTCTTTGAAAAACTTAAGACAGAATCTCACTTAGCCCAAGATAGCCTTGAACTTAACTTGTAGCTAGAATAAGCTTGAATGTGCGATTCTCTTGTTTCTGCTTCTGGAGTGCTAAGAACACAAGGCATGCTGGGATTATACCACACCTGAGTTATTTGCTGCTAGGATCCAGATCCAGAACTTCCTGTGTACTAGGAAAGTGCTCTACCAACTAAATTAACTGGCCAGTCTTTCTCCCTAACCTCTGTTTCTTATTTTATCCTCTGAAGTTGTTTTTTTTTTTTTTTTTTTTTTTTTCCTATCATGAGATCTTTTCAAAACTCCAGAAGGAGGAGAGAAGGAAGAAAACGTACTAACTAACCACCTCTGATATCTCTTCTCAACCTTTCTGCCTGACCTGTGTCTGAGAAGGTGACCAGGACCAAAGACTGGGAGGCACAGTCTCCAGCAGTTTCCACAACCTTGGCAGAACTGAGTATTCTTTGTAAAGCAGGTAGGTAAGGAAAGAACAAAGGCATTGCAGGAGATTTGAATTCCACACTGTATCCCAGGCTGGGAGGTCCAGCATCTTAAAGAGATCTTGTTCAGGTTTTGATAGTCTCCAGGGACAGACAGCTGAGTGCGGCACATCTGTAGCATGCCAACCCTGGTGAAGCATCCCCAGTGTTGTGAGATAGCATGTAGGATGCATGTATTGGGGGTAAAGGCTGGTAGGACTCTTGGGGAGCCCCGCAATCCCATTATGGCCTCCAGCTCAACCTCCTGGTAGCAACACTTACAGAGCCTAGTAGTAGCGGGGAGGTGGGGTGGAGGACATGGTCAGGGGTGTCCCCACCCCCTTCACAGAGATAACTGAGGCTGGAGTGAATTGGCTCACTGTAAGGGAAGGCAGTGCAGCCAGTAACAGAGCTTGGTCTGGGCCTTTGTCAGGTACCATACCCTAGCCTTTGTCAGGAAAGTCTCAGGACTTCCTACAGGAGGCCTAGCCTGGAAGCAGGCAACACCTCTGACTCCCCACCCCCATCTGGTTGAGGCCCAAGCCTTGAGGCAGTTCCTCAATTTTTGCCTTGGTTTTATGTGTTTGTGCTATAAACAGTCCAGGGCCTAACTGTTCCCCAAGAGTTCCTGAGGGGCTCACAAAATACAGCTGCTTGTCTTCTTTTATACGGTCACCCACCCTGTGGTCTCTGATTGTTCCAGACCCTTCTCCTTAGCCTACTCTGAGTCTCTAAAATGATGATGGAATACCACAGTCACCTTACCCCCTGAATACTTAGTTCTTTATGGCTGCCTCTCTGGCTATCTTCTCTTTAGGCCACGTTCTTCTGTTCTGGAATCACTTAGTGGAATAGCACAGTAGGCACTGGGGACACATGTTTCATAGAGTCCTTGTTGTCAAGGTGTATAAATTGCATAAAGAATTCCCCAAGAGAATTTGAGAAGCATTCACTGCGAGGTGGAATAAAGGGCCAGGGGAGTTCGTTTATGGTCATGCTATTCCCTGCCTCCTCTCTCCTCATACTTTATAGGCCTGGCCTCTGTGTGAGACCCCTCTCCCAGGGTTCCTCTTTTTTTTTTTTTTTTTTTTTGGTGATGTCTCCTCAAGAAAGAGACCTAAGATCCTATCACTTTGAGGAATGGGGTGTCCCTCTTGGGCCTCTGACAAACCCTATCATGCCAAATTCATCAATCACCTGGAGTCAACAAAGAGCCAATCCCAAGAAAGAGGGAAAGGGAAGGAAGGGGTGGACGTCAGGGCTGGGGAGGAGGAGAGGGCCAGCAATAATAGTTGGCTAGAAGGAAAAGGAAAGCAAGAAGGCATAGTTCTAGATTTTGGATGTTATGTCCTCTCTTCCAGGTTGGTCATGTGGTTTTGGGCTGTATTAGGAACAAGGAGCAATAGGGGCTGGACAGATTACCCCTCCTGTATCTCCATCTGGCTCAACAGAGCTAGAGACCTTCAGCTCCCTCTCTGAAACTCCCTTCCTTCTCCCTACCCTACAAGGTTGTATGCTCTGCAACCTGGTTTACCCTGTTCCCACTCAGGGCAGGGACCAGAAAGGAAACAGGGAGGTCAGTTTTTTTAGGTACAGTAGTGGGAAGCCCGGGCTCCATGGCAATTGCAGCCTACTGAGACCAAGGCTTGGGAACCTCGGGACAGGAAAGACATCCTCCACAAGATATAGCTCAGTTGTGGGGCTGCAGTGCGGCTCCCCCATTAACGCTCCATTTCTGAGCTCCAATGTGGTGGCGCTGCAGGTGCCGCAACTCCTGCCCTGCTGCAACCCCTGCCCTGCTGCAACCCCTGCCTTACCCCGCACCCCCAACCTTCCCGGGCCAGGGAGATAACTTGCTTGGTTGCGATAAACCACAGTGAAGCTTTGAGACTGGAAAGGCCAGTGCCCCCATCCATGTACCTGGGGTTCTCAGTGGGGAGCACGAGGGGTTATGGGGGCGGGGAAAAGAGAGAGAAGGGCTGCAGATCTCAGCCTGGGAACAGAGTGAAGGAGGGGGAAGGGCTGGGACTCCCTTCCAACCTCGAGTCTGGGGGCTCAGGGATGTAAGGAGAACAGGGGTGTGTGAGTGAGTGAGTGTGTGTGTGTGTGTGTGTGTGTGTGTGTGTGTGTGTGTCAATTCAGCAGAGGTCGGGACATACCACGGAGCACAGTGGCGACGGGGAGGGGGGGTGGAGGACGTGGTCACCGAGGGGAGCCCCCGCCCCCTTCACAGAGGCCGAGGCTTGGGTGGAAGAGAGAACTGGAACTGGGCTCGTCCTAGGGGAAGGCAGCGCGGCCAATCCGTCCCCTCCCCACACCCTGCTCCGAGAGGGTGGGCGATAGAGAAGAGGTTGGGGTTGGAGCAGCAGTGAGGGGCCCCTCCCTGGCACCTCCCCCCACCAGACTTGGTCGCGCCCGAAGTGTAACACTTTCTCTTTGTCGGAGGAGCTCCTCTGTTTCCTGTGCAGCAGCTCCCGTTGCGGCGGCACCCTCAGCAGCCCTGGCGGACGAAGGAGCGATGGCAGCGGCCGATATAGCTCGCCAGGTGGTGAGTACGGGGCTTGGGTACCAGTCCCTGCGCTGGAAAGTGAGGGTGGGCTTGGGGGGGGGGCGCTGGGGACGGCCGAAAGCAGACTTGGCCACAGCCACCACCACTACCACGCGGAGGGCAGTGGGGTAGCATCCAGGAGCAGAGGCAAGGCGGGACTTTTGCTCCCAGGGTCATTAGCTCAGTTGCCTCTCTCCCTAGCACGTTCTGGAGACCTGTGGTGGCGGGAGGGTGGTGGGCGATTGGCAAAGCCTACCGGCGGGCAGCTGAACTTGAATAGCGGGAGAGAGCTGCAGTGAGCGCCTCCGCCTCCCTTGCTGCAGCTGCGGCCCCGCTGCTGCTGGGGCGTTGCCGAATGAATGGCAGCATGAGTACGGAGCCCTCCTGATCCTTGTCCCCTTAGCTTGGCAGAAACCCCGAGCACGCTGCCTCCTGGGACTCCAGCTTGCTCAGGAAGAGGGGCGCGGAGCTGGGGGTAGCCTGGGGCCAAAGGCAGAGTGTGGTGAGGGGGCGGGGAGATGAATGGCTAGAGTAGGGTTTCTCCATATGCATTACATATGTGACCGCGGCTGTGTTTCTATCAGCGTGTGTGCATATATGTGCATGTGCGCCCTCCCGCCTTGCCCATGGCAGAGTAATGTGACCCTGAATGAGTCTGGCCTGATTCTCTGTGCTCACCTCTATGGGGTTTGTTCCTGCCTACGAATGCCTCCGTGTTCACTTGTGCCAAGTCCCACAGGGTCCCTTTTGTGCGTCTGTTTGAGAGTGCGGGGAGTGTGCCGTTCACCCGGCCCGTATGTGGCTGGCTGTGTATTTTGCCACGTTTCTGAGCGGTTCTCTGAGGGTCGGTCTTGGGTTCAGTTTGCATGGGCTTGTATGCTAAAACCTGTGGAGCTGACATCTTTCTGTAGAGGCTGAGGAAAATAGCATGAGACCTGCCTAAGGAGTGTTCCCTCTCTTTTGGTGGCGACCAAGTCTGGAAAAAAAACAAAAAAACATTTTAAAAACTAAACTTTTCCAGCCTGAGATGTGCAGAGAAATCATACCCAAGAACCTGAGGCTCCATGTCTGTTTGTTTTTAGATCAGAAGTTTGGTTACAAAGGGAGATGATTCCATTTGTGGGAACAATCTAGTTTTTCCATTCCACCATCGCTCCAACACCATGAGCTGATGCAGAATGAAGTCGAATTAGGGCAAGCATAGCCCACTACCCCGAATACTACTGGATGAAAAATGATAACCTTGTAACCTCACATTTATTTAGAAAACTAGTTGTGCAATGTGACTGCAGTACAAAAGGAGGGAGTAGGAAGCGGCCTCTAGGTATTTGGTGTAATTGCAATTGATTGTTTTTCTAAATCTGAATCCATAATCTGATAGCATTTTCTCTACAGATAAAGAAATTGATTCCTTTTCCCGTCTGGCTTTGGAAGGTCAGAGTCGTTTATTTGAAACCTTACCCCTTGTATATCCGAGCACAGATGTCCTTATGCAGGCATGGAGTGGAAGGCAGAGGCAGATAAGAGACAGTTTTTGAAGCTGATGGAATTGAAGAGATTCTCAAGATTGACACTAATATTTTGAGGACAACCAGGATGATTTTCTTATCTGCATTTTAAAGATGCAATAGGTTTAAGCAGATGCATCAGTTTTCTGGGTTACACTTGTTCTATCCTTAGTGACCCCCAAAAAATGACACTACAGATTTTCATTCTTGTCATAATGAATTTGCATCAACCTGCCCTCCCCAGTTTCCCTTTCCTGGATTAGGAGTGCAAGGTTGATGTTGGCCAGGGAGAAAATTACACAAGGCTGCTTCACGGTAGGTGCAACTCAGGCAACCTAGAGATCACCTTTGTTCTGCAAATGGGGATGCAGTAAGGGATGGTTTAGGGCCTCTTGATTTGCTTTAGGTGGTTCCAGTTTTCTCTGGCTGGCCTTACCACATTGTATACTGAAAAACATAATTGTATGGTAAATTCTGAAGCAGCCCAAGCACTTGAGAATTTGTTGTCATGATAAATGGGTTTCTGGGAAAACTGACGTCACTCTCTATGCTTCCCTCCCCCCAAACCAGTGAAGCTCTTATTTATGTGTCATTTGTCTCTCTGATTTTCCTTGTGTCTGCAAGAAGTTGTAATTCACCAGGGGAGGCTGGAACTAATTCAAGAGACTTGGAGTTGCTGGTTGATTCTGGTTTCTTCAAAAGAGTAAGTGTCTAGGGCTCGGCAAGAGAAGACTAGAGAGTCAGGCTATGTGTGGCAAGCTTAGAAGTTCTTAATAAATTCTGAGGCATGATACCATGTAAGGAGTATCTTGGTGTGTATATTTGGGTGTCTTCACCGGGTCACTGGAGGATCACTGTGGCCAAATACTGTTGGTAGTAAAATAGTGTGGGAGTGGTTGTGTAGGGCTTCCATTTGGGTGTGAATGCATGTTGGAAGTTTATTATCCAGTTGCATCCCACATAAATGAATACCACAAAGGATTCTGTATGACAGCACCATTTATCCGCCATTGCCACGAATATCTGTTTGATGTGAATAATACTATGGCCAGCCCTTATCAACCATACCCCCTCCCCTCAAAAAGTACTAGATACAGCTCATGGCTTTCAGACTTCCAGCCTTGCTGAAGATACAAATTGTGGATACTGACATGATTAAAGAAGTAGAAGATCCTTAGGGTGCTTCCACCTGTGAAGTGACCCGAACTGTACCTGCTCTGTGTTGTGAGGGTTACATGACTGACTCATCCAGGGTGACTAGGAAGGAATGGCATAGTCACCAAAAGCTCTATCTACTGTCACTTACATCTACCTTTCATTCAGTATTGTATTTTCAGTTCAGAATGTAAGTACTGTGCTTGCCAAAGCACAGTGTGGTTGAGTCTGGCTTGAACAAATCCTTCCCACAATGTGAAGAGCATGGCCTTTTCCACTTACATTCCATTAAGCCATTGCCTTAATGAAAGACCTTGCAAGGACTACAAAGAGTTGTCTTTGCCAGGATTGGCCTGGAGGAGCTTTCCTCAAGTTAGCACCTGCCTTACCATTAGTAACCCTTGTCCACTCTATCTTTTGATTGTCTGTCTGTTTGATTTGAGATACTTTCACCTGTCTACCAAGGTTGGTCTTGAACTCCTGCCTTGGATGCTCTGGATAGCAGTTTCCTCATGGTTTTCCTCTTGACACTCCTCCTTAATTCTTAATCACTGAAAGTAATAATTGTACTCAAAAAAAAAAAAAAAAAAAAAAAAAAAAAAAAGGAAAACCAAACCCCATAGACCTACCTGAGGCTATAGTGCTGAAAAACTATTAAATCCCAAGCCATAATATAGTTTCCTAACTTCTTTGTACCTTTAAGATTCGTCAATAACACACAGGTGTGTGTGTGTGTGTGTGTGTGTGTGGTGGAGGGGTGCCTTGGTCCTGCCTCAACAAAATGATGGGATAGACTTATTAGACATTCTAGGGGAGGCCTTACCCTCTCCAAGGAGCAGATGGGAGTGGGGGTGGGGAGGGGAGTGGAGGGAGGAGGAGGAGGAACTGGGATTAGAATGTAAACAATAAATTAATAAAAATTTTTAAAAAAAATTGTCAAAAACATTAGAGTAGTGGGCGGTAGTGGCACATGCCTTTGCTCCCAGAATTTGGGAAGCAGAGGCAGGCAGATCTCTGTGATTTCAAGGCCAACCTGGTCTACAGAATAACTTCCAGGTCAGGCTCCAAAGCTACAGAGAAACCCTGTTTCAAACAGTTCCCCTGCAAAACAAACAAACAAACAACAACAACAAAACACATTAGAGGAGCTGGGTGTGGAGGCATACACCTTTAATCCCCACACTCAGGAGGCAGAGGCAGATGGGTCTCTGTAAATTCAAGGCCAGCCTGGTTTACAGAGTGAGTTCCAAGACAGCCAGAGCTACATAGTAAGACCCTGTGTGTAAATAATTATAATAATAATAGTAATAATAATAACAGTGCCAATCCTCCCTGTAAGCCTCTTCTTTCAAAGGAGTACCCAGTCTAATGGGTGAAGCAGACACAAATCTTTATGTAGGGCTGGTGGGAGAGTCTCAGTGAGGGGAAAACTCTCACCATGAAAGCCTGACATTTTAGGTGATCTCTAGACTCAACGAAACCCTCTGGCCTCCATACACATGCCATGGCATGCAAATCCTCACACACACATCCTGCATACATACATACTTACACAATAATAAAGTTTGAAAAGTCCCTATTTACTTATCATTATCCTAAGTGCTAAAGAGGAGAACTTCTGCCTGCCATGAGAAGTCATTATAGGGGACCTAATTCAGCTATGGATGAAGGCTGTAAGGATAGGAGAGGCTTCCTGAGGAGCTCTGGATAGGAAAAGGGTAGGTGTGAAGATGGGTGAGATCACACATCTGCTACTTGCTTGGGAACAGTTCATATGTCAATTCACCCACTGCTGTTTTCATTCATTCTTCAACGTTTATTTATCAGGCACTCATTCTGCCAGGTCCTATGCCAAGTGCTTGGGATGTAGTGGTGGCCAAAGTATGGAGGAACTCTGCCCCTTCTCAGAGCTGCCAGATGAGGCAAGAATGGGCCCTGTTTCCTCTTGACATTTTAAATCCAGGAAATGTGTTAGTGGTGTATTAGTCACAAAACTTCATTACAGTAGACTAATAGGTCTGGATAATAAAATGAGAATTTGTTCTGCAATCATATGCATAGTATTTACTTTGTGGAGTGTCTGATATAAATGGTCTATTAATTGCTGCTTTTGTTACTAGCACGGTCCCATACCTTGTGGTCTGTAAGGAAACAACCTCATTCATTGCTTTAACTTGAACAAAACTAGGATTAGTCTGCGGGGTGGGGGGAGGAATCACTATTATAAAATTAAATAACGCTGGCTTCCAAACTTGCTGGGATTTCTGGATTGTCAAAGCCATGACTTAATATTAGCATGAAAAATTGAGAAGACCTTTATTCATTGAAACTACATCC